GAAGCGGTTGGCAGAGAAAGAACGGAAGAGGCGGGCCGCACCAATCGAAAAATACACACAATTTTACAATGCAGTTAAGCAACCGAAACAGTTAGCAGTTATTTGGTTCGTCGCATTTGCAGTCGACGGTAGACAGCGTTGGTTCAAATACCATAGCAAAATTTTCGTGAATCGAAAAAGAAAAAGGCCGGTTGAAAAAGTTTACTGTTTTACTCGCTTGCCACGATTGCAACACGAAATATCGCGCAGCATAGATCGGTCGCTAATACAACTATTTAGCTACGCTTTCAGCGCTGACACCGACCGCCACAGCCGCAGCATGCACACCATCACAGGCATCGCTCATCGATACACAGGATGTATTCCGATCAGACAGTATAAAACGTCGTGTGTTCTCCTCGATCTTCTTCCTCGCTTTTTGTTCGAACTGTAGCACCTTCATCAGCTCTTTGATGCTCTAAACGAGTCTGCACATATTACACACGTACTTCACGTTAGCTTTTTGATCTTCAACAGACTATGCTCAAAGCACCACAACAACGCTTAAATTTATCCTAGCATTGCAAAAGCACTTCATATTTCGAAAATCGTTCAGGCAATGAAAGGGATGGATTATTGTGCTTCTTAAGCTTTTCACTAAGTGGAGAGCTACAGCAAACCACGGCATGTTTGAGCACAGTTATCATTATGAACTGCATAGTATGCTGGACGGCTTACATCGCCGTCGTTCAACACTACGATATCTTTGGTATAATAACACCTGACCAGTCGACCATTGTGTTAATCGATGCGAAGTTCAGTAGAAGAGTCGCAGCGCTATATGCCTGAAGACCGGCTCTGCTGCTTGGCTATAAAAATAAGATCTTAACCTACAGCTTCAATCGCCATTCTTAAGCTGTATAATGTCTGACAGTCGTGAGTGTTCGCTGCGATCCTGTCATTTCAGATTTCAGTCGGACAATCAATTAAGCAAACTCTTTGCATAAGAAATGCTGTAAGCTGCGGAGAAAGAATTACGTCTCCAAATCAGCAGAATTTTTTAAACGCCGTGCATAAAAATTCTACATCTCCGCATGTTCTGTGTTCGTGTATAGACAGACTGTCTAAACCAAACTCCTGCCCTACTTCAGTATTCGTTCGTTAGCTACTTACTCAACGGTACTTCTCATGCGTTTAACATTACGAGAATCTGGTTTTAAAACACACATCATAAAAGCGCAAGAAAATCTGATTAGTTACCCATAAACGGAACGTAAGTACACGGTCGAAACACTCATTGTCCAACTTAAGAATGACAATTAGCAGAAAAGCTCGCATATAATTTCTACACTTAAAACTTATGCAGCAAACGGTACTCCATGCAAATATACCTCTGAGGTTAGCATCAGCAAAACATCATAAGGGTATGAATAATAGCACCAACATTATTACAGCTGCCCTCATTACACTAATCTGACGGCACACTATCGTTACCATTACTACCATTATGCTGCATATATTATGCTACTCCAATGCTATAACACTGTAACAGTTATTTTTGCTACTGAGACTATAATAAATTGGTACACCACAAACACTACTTTTCTTACTAATAACGCAGTTATTACAATTATAATCAAGCTCAATTATTATTTTGACTACCAACCATAACTACTATTATATAACAGCCATAAACTGTATGCATTTACTATATAATATATTACATTTAACAGTCACAAATGCAAAATAAAATAGTACCATTGTTAGTATTAGTAAAAGTACTAGTATGAGCAACAGTCATATTAATGACAGTACTCGTAATATCATAATTTTATTTTTAGCATAGGTAGAACAAGATTAAGTGTACTTGCATAATAACAACAGTAATTAAAATATATAGCAGTGCAGCTACAGCAGTGGAATAGCGGTCACATTGGTACTGTAGCCCGCTGTGGAATACACTTCGTCATCAACGGTCTCTCACCGCACGCAAGCAGAACGAAATTTACAGTAATAAAATTAAAAGAACGTAACGACGAAGAAATATCCAGGATTCCAAACGGTACTGTTACATCGATATGCCTTAAAGCTGAAAAGGGTTGGACAGACATCAAACGGCGCCAAGCCAATTTCTTCTATCATCTGATGAACAGTATTTGAAAATTCTCTACAAGCCAAGCACGAACATTGGTCTTAGAGTAACAGAAGTCGTCGCATATACAGTGGCTCGAAGACACAGCACTGAATGATGGGGCGATTCCCTGTTTACCAAGCTTACACGATGAATAAGACGATGAGGATGACGAAATTACGAAAATGCTGCTAATAATTATGTTTGTGATGAGGATAAGGTAATCATCACGTCAGGAGCTCATATTCATATAAGCATGGTTTTCTCTGCTTCTTTCTGTCGTTTATCGAGTTTATCGTTTATTAAAAAATTCAGGTGCAAAAAGCCACGAATCATGTTCCGTGCGAAACACCAGCCGCAGCAACAATGTCGCTGACGAACAAGCTCTTATTCAAGCTACGAAAATGATACGAGAGCATTGTACATCCCAGAATTCAAACATACCCAGATACCATGGAGGCGTGGTTCCTTAAATAGCCTCTTAAGCAGTTAGAGCAAATGGATGATGCTATTCACCTTGAAATCTGGTTTCAGATTCGTCTCTGAGTGCAACAGTACAATATAGCATCATGTTAAAGGACGCTATTACCTTACGGTGCCATACTAGCAGTATGTTAATTATTATGCTAAATTGTCATTTGGTCAGATTATGCAACAAACTGAGAATATTTAGAATAGCATGACGCAGCAGGCGCAATAAAGATTTCATAACTGTTAAAGTCAGTGCCGTAAATATGGCAATAGGGTGCAGAAAACGCGATAATATTGATAATAGAGTCATGCTGAAAAACGGAAAAACACACGGTTTATTAATAAACAACTCAAAAAATAATATGGTCATTCGGATGACTGACTAAATCCGACTTTCGGCTCGTATCTCACAAGTCTTCTATCAAGGTAGGAGGCTGGTAAAGTTTCAGAGATTCTTCTCGTAGTCCGTAGAATCTAGTAGGTTTGGAGCCGAAAGACAAACTTTTGATTCGTGTTGATGGTTCAATTGCTTCGGAGCGACAGGTGCGGCTAAGTTCACCAGATTCGTGCAGGGCTCGTATCCTTTGCCAGGGCTGACATTGTCGCGGGACTGGGTGATTAATGCCTCCTTGACAGAGCGGTGCAATCAGTGTTTTTCTCTGCCGGTACATTACTGCTGCGTGCTGCAGTGTAGTTATAACACTAAGTCGCAGCATAGCACTGAACAACGATGTCAAATTAGCGGCACCTTTATAAACTATCTAGTCATGATACTGTGTTGTATTTTTAATCTGTTACATTATTAGCCATCTGGAGAATATTTCTTTGTAACAGTGTAGTCAACCGTAATGTTACAAGCATGATGAAAGACGTACAGTAGCACACAAAAATACTGTATAGCAACAAATTGTGTTATCATGTGCTACACTACAATGTCACACTATTATATGTGAATGTCACACCATTCACATATAATAGAAATTTCACGAACACTCTAACGCGGTCGGACAAATTTAACCTATCAGTTTCAGATTCTTCTCCGGTTAGAAACCTTGGCAAGATTCACATGAACACTACCTGGATTTGTTAACGAAACTTAATTAACACATGCAAGATTCCATTCAAATTAATTGCCCGAATACTAAATTCAGGCCTCAGAAATTCTCCGTGAACGATCATATGCACGCATCGCCTAAGTACATACATGGGAAAGGCGGAAAATAGCTACAGTATGAAGAACCTGCAATTCTTTACGTAGCATCATCCCAAAACGCTCTTATAGAGCGGTGATTTGGTCATTGTATTATATGCGTCAATGTTTGGTTGATCAAACGCTAACAAGTACATACGACTGTCTGTTTTGAAAGAAATTGGACTGTGTGATTGCTTGTCTCAATAGTCAAAAGAACCATGTTTACTATAACCCTTTCATCGGACGGTCACCCTCTAAGCAGAAGATGCGTCAACATTTTTCGCATTTATACGCTTGAATGGAATTTTCAGTACGTACCTCATTGATAGTTGCAACCTGATCTTTCAAAGCGTAAACCGTATCCACCAGGGTTCTAAATGAAAAACATATGCATCATAAGAGGTGAAACGGTATGAATAAATTAGTTTTCACATTAAATATTAAACAAAACTGAAAACTAGAAGTCAGCAGAATGACAGAACATGCT